ACGAAACTAACCACCGAAACTAGTCTTGACTAGCTAACTAATGCAATAGCAGGGAGGATATGAGATGGGAAAAACTCAAATAAAACAGCGCTGAAGAACTCGAAGAATCCTAGTACCGGATATAATTGTTGATAATGCCATTATTAACTCAGCAACAATAAGTTATCATGAAAGATCGCAGCATGACAACGACCCAAGAACTTGACCTTGCGGCCGCCTCAACAATACTCCTGCTGTATTGGCGTACAATAAAAAATAACTCTCTGTCTTCTGCTTTTTTCGCCTCCCTTAGGATTCAGGTGCTTTTTATCCCAGAGTTAAAGTTACTCCATATAGAATACATGTCTCGCACCGGCAGTTCCCCATTTCTCCCGCCACCAATTATTTTCCATCCTTAGTATCACATAGTATCATTATATGATGGTTATATTATTGTCATACTGCCGTTTAGTAGCCCGGTTAGTTAACTAGCTGTAAAGAATTTTACCTCTTCCTCGGAACCAACTACGATGTCCTACTAATCTACTCTGCACATACATCAAATTGCAAACTTCGGTCGGTATCAATGAGGCTACTCCATAACGGAATATGAGACGGGCTTGACCCGTGTTCCGAAGCCGATGGCGAAAAACAATGCCATCTATCTATCAATACGAAAAATTAAAAGGGAAGAGGAGGGGAAATTAAGCAGCAAGATTATCATGTTCCGTTGATAACCACCATTGATTCGTGTTCTGTACTTGATTCAACCTTCAGAGGAAAAAGAAATGAAAAAGGAGGAGTGAAAAGGAAAACTTTCTTGTCCCTGGTTTTCTTTTTTCTATGGTTCATCATTATTTGAATCTACATGAGGTAGATCAAGCTGGCTGTTCGAAAAAAAAAAGAAAAAGAAAAAGAAAGAAAAAAAAGAAATAGATAAGAAAGAAAGAAAAAACATGACTTGCTTGGCGTTTTCTTTTGTGGTCCCCTTCAGATGAGGCTCCAACCTCCTAGTTAGTTGACCATTCTATTATCTAATATTAACACTCCAACCCCATAGTTATGTGACTCCAGGCAATCCACCTTACTACAGCCAATCTATATACATACGGATGGAGGCGTTACTTAATATAAACGAGGCTTTTTTAAATCAACCCGAGAACGGGTTTCTAGGTCTGAAGGGTTGGAGAAGGGACAAACCGAGCCGAAAGGCGTTTGGCAGGCAAAGAAGCGAATATGATCTGTAATTAACTAACCGGCTTCGTCTCGGGGGTTGGGGAGGAAGAAGTAATATTGCAGCGTAATAGACGCGAAGCTTGGTTGTCTCGAGATCTATATCCATACGAAGCGTCTAGCAATTGATTGGAAGTTGACAGCTTCTTTTGAGACACCAAGGGCACGGTACCACTCAATCCATATACATCACTAACTAGTAGCTATCAAGATTGAAAGGACCTTCGGGATAGCTAGCTTTTTCCTGCAAGTCTTCTCGCCATTAGATGCCAAAATCGTTCCACCAGCATCAACTAAGACAGGGGGAACGGGATGCATGCACAGCTCTGCGTGCCGTCAAATCTCGGTTTGGGAGTTTCTTTTTCCCTAGGTCATGTAGTTACTTATTTGTTTCCATATGTATCTCGCACCCGC